GTGAAAATAAAAATTTATTTACTGTTATTTTTATGAAATTTAATTTTCAGTCAGATTTTTAGTGGATCTCCGAACGCAGGTTTGGGTGTTACAAAGAATATAACATTGCTAGAAGGTCAATGACATTTCTCATCAAAAAAGTAAAATAAAATATTGTGTAACGTGACAGCAGACACCATCTGCAGCATTGCGCAAGGGATATAAATTTTATAGCTGTATGGTCACTTGATTTTTTTGTTGATAAATATTGCATAACAGAAAACTTTGCAAAAAGTAAGCAATGAACAAATGAGGTAGGTAAAAACAAGCAAATGCATCGCACACATACACATATGTATGTATGTATTTATACCATATATATGGTACATATGTAAACAGATATGGTCGTCCATGCCACAAACATGCAAGCACTCATGCGACAAATGACCAAACAGGCCTTGAAAGTATTTTGGATTATTTTTTTTCGTATGCGTTTCGTATGTTTGTTTACATTTTCGTCTCTATTTCTGGCACGGACTTGGACATATATACATATCGAATAATTTTTTGGCTTCACAAGAGACCATGTACATACATAATACATTTTTCTAACAGAACTCCATAACAAAAAAAATCAGTAAATAAATCTAAATCTACATTTTAGTAGAAGTGGTTTTCAGATTATGAAAGGGCCCTTTCTTCTTTTTTCTTCAAAAAATCTTCTCATTCTTGTTGAAATATTTATGCCCATATATCCCAATGTATTTATCTCAGCTATCAATCCGAAGAAAATGCCCTTACAATCTTGGGCGCTTTGATTCATGCAGCTCTTATGATTAGGCAAAAATATGATTATGAATTTTAATGTACAGAGCTCGATTGAAATATTTACATACACATGTATATATGTACATGTAAGCCGAAACGATCACACTTCTGTATACATCCACTGTCATGTTTAATCAAAGTTATGAGCCAGCCACTTGAGTGGAAATAAAAACAATAAAGATTCGAAATTTACATATATCTTAACTTGTTTATACAGAAATTGAAAGTAATTAAAAAACAAAAAATATACAACATTTTGCTGCAGCTACTGCTATTAAATGCATCTTAGAATGTACATATGTACGTATGTAAGTATGTTTGTATGCCATATGAAAGAAATTGTTGCTAAATGTATTTGCAAATATGGTGCGTTTAATAGGACTCGAAGAAAAACCTAAAATAAGAGTCCGAATGTAGTCAGTTATAAGGCCGATAAAAGCCTCAAAAAGAGTCTGAAATAATACATATATGAGCCATATATGGGGCCAAGAAGAGTCCAATACGACTCATATTGAGGCTGATTTGATGTATGAATTTAAGCTCACATACAAAAGTTGACCTTCGGAGAAAGGAAAACACCCATCCAGCATTTTCTGAAATTATTGATCATATTCGAGTCTTATTTGAGTCCTCCTCGCGATTAAAATAATCATAAATCGGCTCATATTCCGATTGTAAAAGTCTCTTTTGTCGGTAGAAAATAGTTACGTTCCAGATGCTTCACGATTTGCAGATCTTACAGGATTTGCATGAACAGCTGTTTTCTCCATTAATAAACCTTATGGTAGGTGGTCACCTGGAATGGCTTCATCTAAATACTTGCAAATCGTGAAGCATCTGAAACGCAACTAATGAAACCCTGCCCGCGACTCTTCTTGGCGAGTCTTTTATTACCCACTCTTCTGATTTTTTTACTCTTTTTCGAGTCATATTTATATTCATTTTTGAGTCTTATTTAGTTGACGCAGTGCTCTGAAAAGTAAAAACGCAATGCTAAAATTTAAAAGAGCGCCAAAAGCCAAAGGGATAATCGATTTTAATTTTATAAATTGGGTTTTTCTTCTATAGGTTAGTTCTATATAAGGTTTAGTTTTAAAATTTTTTAATATGTTTAACTGGTTAATATTTAATGAAATATTCTATGTTTATTTCAAGATAATTTTATTTGAAACTATAATACTAAATATTGAATCTGCCGCATGGCCGCCATTTTGTTTAAAGCGCGATTTTGTACCATATAATATTAAAAGTTTTTCTGAAGATGATTTTTTTAAATTAATTCTTTTCAACCAACTTCGTGTAAGATACACGTAAACATGATTATATGATGACTTGAGTTTAATTTAATAAAATTTAATACATATTTTCCAACCCATATTTATTTTACTTTCAGATTCGATTAAGCGACCCCAATAACTCTTAAATATATAAACATAAGCCATTCTTATTATTATTATTAACAAAATTATTGTGTTTGAGATTTTAGAGGCAATTTTTTTAAATTATGGGCACAAAATGGGTATCAAATATCACTGTGTGTTGTAAGTGTCGTATTGTTGTATGTCGTAAACAACTATAAAAGTTATATTTTGCATTTTCACAGTGTTGAAAAATACTTGGTGCTTGTTTCAAGTCTTCTAAAAATTTATTTAAGCATTTAAAGTTTTCGACAGGTAATAACTAGCGCTTTATTTTTTTTTTTAAGAGAACGTCTGGTTTTCCTTTGTGACAAAAAAAGTTCACACAGCTTTTCTGTTCAGAACTGCATGACTTTGAAACCAGTTAAAAGTTGGCTGTAATAAGTGAGCCAAAAGTTGGTAACTTTAGTAGTCTACTACAAACTTCGCGACAGGGTTAATGTTATTGTTGTCTTTGTATTTGACGATTTCCGCATCAACCCAAGAGTGTCAATGCAACAAGCTT